AATATCACATGATGATCGTCGTTTGAAATTTCGGACTAATTTATATTTTTGATGACTATAGATGTTATAAACCATAGTGATCGTCAGGAATTTCTACCTTCCATAGCTTGATATCTTTTGTTGGAACACCGTCGAAAAATGGTTTTTGACTCTTCTTAATATTCTCCTTGAGATGACTAACCAACTTGCCAGCATCAACATCGACAGCGAAAGCGTTCGCAGTTGTATTACCTTTGACAAGACAAACTAAAGTGATAGACATAGCGACTTATATATTGTTTTTTGTGAAATGTTATTGGCTAGTGTTGACTATTATGAGGATAAGAGGTGCGAAAAAAAATTTTATCGATTGATGCGGGATCAGTGGTATATGTGTATGCAATGTAGGTCACACAGATTACATAAACGGATCCCCAATTTAAAACGTGTAATTTATTTTACGAAAAAAATGCCTTGAAGACAATAATAAAATTTACGAATACATGGCGCCGTTACAAATAGAAAAATCTAGCTGGATGCTGGAAACACCTAATTCCTAGACTTTATGAGAATGTGAATTTGATCCTGGTTAGGGACTCTATCGAAATATTTAGAAACTTCATCCGACGTCTTTATAGGATCTTTATTCTCGGGATCGTTCACATAGAGTTCGAAATTGAGGGAGAGAGGTTGGTGACCTAGATTCGCCAATAGAGATCCAATAGCAAACTTGATCACATAAACCTTATCTTCTTTGCATGGCCAAATAGTGTAAATTGTTCTATCCGGATCATTATGAATATCACACCTGAGGGGGATAGGATTTTCGCTAGCCATTTCTGTTTCCTAAATACAAAGCCCCATAATGCGTATTGACTATATCTGGAAAGTAATTTTGCTTTGATATATACACCAAAGTCATTAATACATTTTCTTTGAAAGATAATATATACCTTTAGCATAAGTTAATATAAAGTGCTAAAAATTCGTGGGAAGTTATTGTACGAGATATTAAGTATCCTAATAAATAAAGTCTCCCTAAAACCTACTTATTTATAATGTTTTCATTCGCTCGATCTATAACTAACTTCCTGGAAAAATGATCCAAACTTTATCGAGCGAATCTCAGAACCTAGTAATTAAGAAATTGACTTTTACCGAAATCATAATTAAACTTGTTACGATTCAGCTTCCATAAAAAGTGTTGTCATATGTAACTAAATGCCAAGGTCTATGGATATGTTGAGCAATGAGTCATGCGCATGAATAAAACTCCTTTTTAGTTCGACGATCGCAACGAAATCAGCTAATGTAATGACGATCCAGAATTGCGAGGATTACAAAGCCACATAACTGACATTTTCTGATAACAGAGCTGATAGGAAACATCGGACTCTTGATTCTTATTGCCTTTTCAAGTTTCTTTTACGCTGGTTCTTATCGTGAAAGTATGTGTGATAGAGGTATTTCCCAGCCTATATAAACGAAAAAAATAACGATAATCATATGTTTCACGAACTTCTACGCATGACATTGCTCGTGATGTGATTGGTCGAAGTTGAAATTTTCCGGTTAATGATTTAAGCTAATAAACTCGGGTGATTTATCTCTAAATATTTTCGCAACTCTGTATGATCGAACACTCCGGTTACATTATCCGTGAATTTATTCATAACTCTAATAAAATCATTCTCGGGGTCTTATATATGCTCATATTTATTACTATTAAGAGTTGTAAATATTGTTTTAAATTTACCCATTGTTTTATGCTGATAATTTCGAGACTTACTCATTTCTTTAGTAGACCTATGTACTAATATATTTACTAATTTTCTCGATTCAAATTTAGGTCAACCATGTGGTATTCTCTTTTCTGTCCGTTGATGATATCGATCTTCGGCTTGTTTCATAAATAATCCGCCTGGTCGATAGAGCCATTCAATTACTGCATGCTGAATTATTTTAGCGGAATTAATTTGTCTTCTCCATAAACGATATGTCTGCTGGATAATTAATGATGCACGATTCTTTTTATACAATGCTAATTGAACTTTAAAATTTCTATATTCAGGGTCATTACCTATTTGTTTATGGCTGGTTAAATTATTTTTGATACGAAATACAAAATTTTCCCAGTAATCTCTATTATTTACTTCATATCCTAATTTTAATAAACGCTTACGTATATATTTTGGTGGATAATAATTTGCAAACCATAACCATGCTTCTGACGTTTTAATATTGTTAACAATATAATTTTCACCATATTCGCTTAACCTATCTCGTAGACCTGAAGGATTATTGCTTTGAAATACTCTGCTATAACTCATTATATATTTGCTACTTCTGACGTATCTAATATAGTTTTAACTGGTACTTTGTTAATTTCGCAAGATAAAATTCTCAGCGTGATGTTTTATTATAACAATATATTTAATTATATTTTTTTCTGTGTATTAATAATAAATCAATTAAAATCCAATGGTTAACAATAGCTGTGAAACAGTTGCCTCTGGCAATAATACCTCGAAATTAGTATCTAAAATTGTTAGACAGATATCACATAGAAGAATTTCATTTTCTTTCCGTCAATTATTAGAGATAGTGAAACCTGAGGTTTGCCAAGAACTTATAAAGGCGATAACAAACCCCAATATTTCTCGGAGAAATCGTACATCATGTAAGGCTAAAAAAAAGATAATTTTTAGTGATATTGCAACTTCATCCCCATCTTCATCTGGGTCTGACTCTGAATCCTCTAGCTACGAAGTGAGTGAGTGACTACCTCTGGTATGATGATAAAGATTTTATTGTAGATGTGGTGAAAGCAAAGAAGCGTGATTAATCTTGATCATAGATATGAATTGGTCTTGCTTGCTCATAAGGAACTCCTCTTTTTCTATAATTAACTACAACGTAATTTTGCACAGGAGAAGTATGGTTATCTGGATTGTGACGTAGACATTCTCCAGCAATGGTATAAGCATGGGCTGGGTTCTCAGCTCTATGTACTACTGCACCATAAACAGCACCCATTTTTCGTAAGTATTTGGGAATTAAATCATAATCTTTTAAGAATCTATTGAACCATTTAACTCCTGGCTTACCTGGATTACCCATTCGACCAGAAGACATAGCATTCTGAATCCATGTAAGCAATTCCTTAGCTCGTTCTTGATCCTTCTCCATAGATCTAAATTTTCTAGGAATATCTGATTGTCCCCGATTCTTTGCATAACCAATTACGCCAGCATCTGTAATATGTAAAGTTTTGAGTTCAGCGGGACGTATACAAAGCATTATCATAACATCAGCAAGGGCTTGTAAATCAGGTAAAGTTTTAATATCATACGTATCTAATCTTTCTTTGACTGATTCTAATGTAAATTTATCTGGATAATCGATACGTTTAGTTTCAGCCTTTTTCCGGTTGACACTCTGGATTTTGTTGGCATCTTCAGTAATATCTGGAAATTTCGTAGCCTCAATTATCTCAAGTGATGCATTAAGGTTCCTTAATTCTCTACGAAGACGAGTGAGACGTGATGAGCCAGCATTAGCATTTAATGTCAATAAGGCTAAGGCATAAGCTTCAGATCTCACATCTCTAATGCTAAGTTTATCTCATAAAATCCATTGCGCCATATTTCCAATAGTTTCTTCTTTCAATCTTTTTGGAGTTTGTTTAGCTAGATCTCTAATAATTTCTTCTTCCAAATTTTTTAGGGATGAGGTTATAGCCATTTTATAACTACTCTCAATAACATTTATGACTTTGGTTTTACCACCTCTCTGATTAGGTATCAATATACTTACCTGCTCATTGCTAAATTTAAAACCATCTCGAAGATGTCTCCGTGCTTGATTCCTCTTTTCACTACCTGTAAAATTTTTGAAAAACTCAGAGCTATATTGACCAAGCTCAGATTCGCTCATATTTGGAGTAAGTTTGTATTCCTCAACAATTTTCGTTACAATTGCTGACATGATCCAATGTTATAGTAGGTCAAGTAGGTTATGAACAGTTCTTTAGGTTATATACACTATGGAGATTCTTTTTTCAAATCGAAATTAATAATCCGCGGATTAGTATTGCTATACCCATGGTTGATATAATTTTATCAAAAATGGATATGGGTAAAGATACGAGATCGATCAAAAATATAGAAGTGGTCAAAGATTCTAAAAAAAATTATAAATATATATTTTTATTGAAAAATTTTATATTAGCTAGTTTGAAGAAGCAAAAAAGCCCCCTCCATTGGATGTTTCTATCCAGAAAACCTTTTTATTGTCACCTTAGCATAACGATCAAACCGAGTTGTAATAACTTACCATAGCAATCCATTTTCCTGGAGTATGGTTTTATTTTTTATCTATTCTTTATCAGTGTCAAGCCATATGGATTCGCCTGCATCTTCAAGTCTACGGCATAAGATTTCTTCTCCTATCAATCTTTCCCGATGCGTCATTTCCATAAAATCGTGAGGATCATTACCTTGTTCTATATTAAAGAGACAGGTATTTGTGTCAATATCTATCCTTGTGAGATAGTCTATTGAATCAGTTTTGTCTTTATCTGTAATGGTCATGAACTTATCGGGATCCTCATTATGATCTATAGCCCATTGCCTGAAACGTTTTTTCCTTTCTGCTCGGGGTATATATCCAGGTGGATATGATTCCGATTGGATGTTGGCTTTTTTATTGCTGGATTTGGGTTCATCATTTGCAGGCAAGTTAGAAGAAATCTCGGGTTTATCATTTACCGAATCAATGATCTTGGAAGAAGATTCTGCTTTATTGTCCACAGGTTCTATGTGTACGATCTCAGGAAGCGGAGATATATCAGTAGACACTGATGTCGAAGCAACTGAACATTCTGATTGATCTATTATTGAGTCAAAGAGGTCTTGGAACATATCGGTAATGGCTGGGGTAAACACTATTTCCTTACCTTTTTTGATATTATTGGTGATCGATGACTTGGCTATATTTTTCACTGGTTGAGGATTTATTGCAAGGCAATGATCCTTTGGGTCTACAATTTCAGGTACGTTAAATACAGGGATATCTGTGGATGTGTCGGAGGATGTCTCGGCTTGAGGTGCGTCAGAAAATTCCTCGATATCACCTACTGATTCATGTAGCTTGACTACGATTTTGGAACGATCGAGGATATACTGCCATTCTCTTTTTCCATTGATTCGTGCTTGCTTGCGTTCAATGTTAACTTGTGGAATTTTTTTCCCAAAATTATTACTACTGAATGGCTTTTCACCATTAGCTTCACACCATATACGATACTCCTGATATAACATAGCACAACCCGGTTTTTCAATTTGATCTTCTGACCATACCGAAATATGATCAATTATGAATCGGATGGGATTTGGGAAATGCTCATGCATCGTCTCTGTTTTCATTTTAGTGGTAGGAATATTTTCTTGTGGATTCCAATTCGAAAGGTCTTGATCAAGTAAATAGCTCATAAAAGATCCGGGTGTATCGGGATGGTTGAGAATTTTTCCCAACTGACCAAAATATTTAAAATTACCTTTACATCGAGGTGAAACATCTAAACATACAATACGACCATCTCCTTGCTCAACACGAATTGGGGCGTCATGATTACTTAATACTATAAATCCAGGAAAATGACCACATTCTTGATTTTCGAGACCTTTACGCTCAATTGAAACGTAATCTTCTGTAATTAGAGATTTTAAGTGATCGTTTGACTTATGCCATTCTCCACTTAACATTCCCGCTTCATTCATAATTATAAGTTTATGTCCTTGAATACTACTGTTGAATTTTCCCAAAATTTTGCCTAAATCGGACGTTGAATATACAAGCTCTGAACCGAATAAACTTTTTCGAATAAAATCAGTAATAATATTTTTCCCACATCGTGGCGGTGAACGCAAAACAAGAATTG